AAACAAGAGGCAGCCAAGGTGGAAAATCCTCCTGCAGAGAGACACAGCTTATTACACACCAGTGATGTCATGCAGGAGAAAAACTCTGCTAGCATGGTGACTACACAACTGCCTTCCATGGCCCCTCAGACATCATTAAACATCAGTGGCCTCCTAGCAAACAGGAATGTAGTCCTTGTGGGACAGCCAGTGGTCAGATGTGCAGCCTCAGAAGATAACAGAGGATTTGCACAGGACAGAAACCTTGTGAATGCAGTGAATGTAGTCGTGCCTTCCGTGATCAATTATGTCTTATTTTATGTTACAGAAAACTCATAGGAAGAAAGCTCAGATCTATGTGGAAAAGAGTTGAGCAAAAATTTGTAGTTCATTATGTGGCTTAAAAGTATACACTGAGAGAAAGTGTGTAAGGCTGAAAAAGCCTGATAAACTCATCCTATTTAAAATATGCTATAATACAAAGGCAAAATCTAATCTTACCCTGTGCACATACACAGCATTTGCTCTATTGTGTCAATTAAATGAATGAAGGAAGCCCAGGTACTTTTAAGTGGAGGAAATTAAGTACTGCGAATTTTTCAAACAGATGAGATAATCGGTATCTGGAGAGTTGCAGTGACTGAAAAGCCCCGAAAGGGGCAGTTGATGGGAAAGGGCTAATACTGGATTGGTAGGATGTGGGACATGTATGTGTCAATTCAGTTTCCTTAGATCAGTGTGAAGGATTAATTGAAAATCAGGACCATAAACTTTCAGAACTTTATATTATGCAGAGTAATCTCTGAAACAATAGTCAGTTTGTTTCATTAAACAAATATTTAAAAATTATTTCCTTTGTACCCTGTCCTGTTCCCGGAGTGGAGGTCAGAGTGGTAAACAAAGAAGAAAAAGTTTGGAGAGTTTGTGTGGTTATCTTTAACTTGTATCATTACATTCAGCTAATCTAGTCAGGGGATGCAAATATCTACATTCTGTGAAATGGACATGGAGTAACTGTCTAGGGGACATGATAATTTGTTGTTCAAGGAGTAGCATAAAGACTGCTGTTAATGGTATTTAAGCACCTTAGTACAAAAATGAGGGTTTTTTTTTTTTAAATGCCCATGTCTTATCTCTCCAAGAAATTACAGATTCCTTGCTAAGTCTTGTGGGTACTTACATGTTAGAATTAAAGAAACTGAACACAAACTTTAAAAACTCAGTTCCTTCAGTGTTCAAGAGCTGTATGTGAGTAGCGGCTACCAAACTGGACAGCACAGTGAGCAGAACTTGGACATAGTGGGGACTCTTTGTCATCATTTCCGACATCCCAGAAAGTTACACTGGACTCTCCAGTTTGCATGATCTAATATTTCCCAACACATAGAAAAACAAAACTAATTATATATTGATTTGGAGAGTGAATGTATGAATTAATAGGTTAAAGTTATTTTGTCATCGAAGGGAATGACAGTTGTAAAGAATGGAATTGTCACAACTTTCGTGTGATTAGAGTGACTTAAACAAATATATTTCTTTTTTTTTTTCTTTTTCTTTTTTACCTCCAGCAATGGGTATAAGAAAGATTTAAACAAATATAAAAGGAGCAGGACATAAAAGGAAAATGACCCTTAGAATAAGTAGAACACAGAAGGAAGATGAAAATCTTGGTCTCCAAGAATGGACGAGACCGTAACAGATGGGAGGAGGTGGATTTCTTCTGTGGCATCTTAGAAATGACCCGTTTATTTGTCTGTAAGACCTATTACCTGCTAGAGTTACCATTTCAAAGATCCAGCTCCTCTGTGGCCTGCTGAACTGTGATTTTTTTTTTTAGACGTGCTTTATCTTCATCATTATTCTGACTTTTCTGGGATTAGGTCTCTTGCCTTTCTTTATCCAGTTTTTTAACCTTCATCCCTATGTGGATACACTGTCCAAGTTACAGTGAGTGCTGTTCATAGGAAAAAAAAATGGAAATTTGCCTTGCTGTGACTAGCTCAGAATTCAGCAGAGATCCTGGGTTACTAGGTAACTTTATTGTACCATCACTATGCAAGGCACTGTTTTAGATACAGTTATTTGTTCAACAGTCTTATTATTGAAGCGCTGTGTTCCAGTTTTTGTTCTGAGCACTGGGGCTAAAAAAAATTAGAGTTTTTGCCTTTGTGGAACTCACAGTTCATTGTGAACAGCAGTTAAGTGAGCTGATGATGATGATCAGGAAAAATGATCTCCAATCATCCCCAGAAGAGAGATGCTTCCTTTATTTCCCTATTTGATGCCTTCTATAGTTCCCTTCCTTAGTCCCAGTTAGGAGCTGCAATTTTATATTTAATGATTGCATTATTATAAATAAGACAAACCTGAGAGGCAACCCAGAATGCTGTCTGAAGAAGTGACATTTCAAATGACTCATGAAAGGACAAGTATAGTAACTAATACTCCTTGTTTCCTGTGTGCCAAGCACTTCGCAAGAAGGGAAGGTATGTGCAAATTACTGGTAGCATATAAGACCTGGGAAAGGGGCAGAATAAGAATCAAATGTAAGGCAGAGAGTAATGGAAGATGAGAATGGAGAATCTGGTGTTTGCTGGCGTACAGCCTTAAACATATTCTGAGATCTGTAATTCATTCATTCAGGGTTTTATAGAGGGTATAATAAAGATGGTTTGTGGTATGGAACAAGGAAGTGGATGGAGTGCCACCAACTTACAGAGCCCAACGAGGTGTCAAATGCAATAGTAATTCAGATAAATGGACTAAAGCAATGAGGACAGAGTGAGGACAGATTTCAGTCTTCTTTTGGAGACAGTATCATCAGTAACTGAGGACAGGTGTGGAGATCACGCATGGATTGTATTTTGGGTTGGTCCTCTGACCTTTTCACATCAAGAACTAGTAACCTATAATCCAGATAACTCCTTTGTCTGCATTCTGGATGAGACAGAATAAGGAAGAAGTAAATCTGGAGGAGAGAGGGACCTGAGTTTTGGAGTTGCTTACTCTGAGGTTCAGTTGGAGTGGGGAGCAGGACATTTGGATGCTATGTGAAATAGTGTTTTTTTTTTTGAAAGGGCTGCTATTTTTAATATTTTTTTTTATTTCAACAGGTTTTGGGGTACAAGCCAGTTACACAGATGAATTATATAGTGGTGAATTCTGAGATTTTAGTGCACTGGCCACCGAGTAGTGTATATGGTACCCAATATGTAGTTTGTAATCCCTCTCCCCCTCCTAATCTGCTTCTGAGTCTCCAATGTCATATATATACGATTTTTTTTTTTTTAAGACGGGGTTTCACCATGTTGGTCAGGCTGGTCTTGAACTCCCGACCTCAGGTGATTCGCCCGCCTTGGCCGCCAAAGTGCTTGGATTACACGCGTGAGCCACCGCACCCGGCCGATTTTTTTTTTTTTTAAGATGGAGTCTCACTGTGTCGCCCAGGCTGGCGTGCTGTGGTATGATCTTGGCTCACCGTAAGCTCTGCCTCCTGGGTTCAATTGATTGATTATCCTGCCTCAGCCTCCAGAGTAGCCGGGATTATAGGCGATTGCCACCATGCCTAGCTAATTTTTGTATTTTTAGTAGAGATGGGGTTTCGACATTTTGGCCAGGCTGGTCTGGAACTCCTGACCTCAAGTGATCCACCTGCCTTTGCCTCTCAAGTGCTGGGATTACAGGCGTGAGCCACTGTGCCCAGCCAAGTCCATTATATTTGATGCTAAGTTAACAAATATCTTTTAATTAGAAATTAGCAAATGTATACACTGCATATAAAATGAAGATTTTACGCTGGGTGCAGTGGCTCATGCCTGTAATCTCAGCACTTTGGGAGGCCCAGGTGGGCGGATCACCTAAGGTCAGGAGTACAAGACCAGCCTGGCCAATATGGTGAAACCTCCATCTCTATTAAAACTACAAAAATTAGCTGGGTGTGGTGGCATGCGCCTATAGTACCAGCTACTCGGGAGGCTGAGGCAGGAGAATTCCTTGAACCCGAAGGCGGAGGTTGCAGGGAGCTGAGGCTGTGCCACTGCACTCCAGCCTGGGCGACATAGCGAGACTCTGTCTCAAACAAACAAACAAACAAATAAATAAATAAATGAAGATTTTATTCTCAAGCCAAAACCCCAAATATAATCAAAATTATATTTATTGTTTTACTTTTTTGTTTAAAATTTTAGGAATGCAAACAAATTAATTTTTCCTATGAGAGGATTATAAACATTGTTGTGCAGATAAATTTTGCATCCTCTCAGTAACATAGTTATCTTTTAAAAAATTAACATGGATAATTCAGTTTTTTAATGGGTATATACTGTTCTGCTGAGGAGATGTGTATTATCAAACTATTCACTGATGTACATTCAGGTTGTTCCTTGAAAAAAAAATTACCTAAACTGCTGTGGTTAATATAAAAAGGTTTTTGTTTTTTTTTTTGAGACAGAGTCTCACCCTGTCGCCGGGCGCCAGGCTGGAGTGCAGTGGCACAATCTCGGCTCATTGCAACCTCCGCCTCCCGGGTTCAGGCAATTCTCCTGCCTCAGCTTCTCGAGTAGCTGGGACTACAGGCGCAGGCCACCACGCCCAGCTAATTTTTGTATTTTTAGTAGAGACGGGGTTTCACCATGTTGGCCAGGATGGTCTCGATCTCTTCACCTCGTGATCCGCCCGCCTCGGCCTCCCAAAATGCTGGGATTACAGGCTTGAGCCACCACGCCCGGCTAATATAAAAAGTTTTAATTGAAATCGTAGAATTGGGATTGCTGGATCAAAAACGAATAAAAAATTTAAATTGTACAGATAATTCCAAGTTGTCCTCCAAAAAAGGATGCAAAAACTATTTCCTTTACTACCCACCTTCCTTGCCTGTCTAAATAGCTAACATTTCTTTTGCGAGTGCTGTTTATTTTTAAAATTAGGGACGACGCCAAACAAAATAACATCTCATTATTTAATCCCTCACAAATGCCCTTTGTTTTTTAGGGAAACGTGCGTATATTTGAGGCTCACCTCTTTACCCTCCTTGCTGGAGGTAGTTACATTTCCAGGACACTGGAAGGCATCTGGTTCACAGAGCCGGGTCCTCGCCTTTGCCTCTGCTCTTTTAGCAGTTCTGTGACCAACCTCATCCGGGCCAGCTTCACTCATTCTCATTCCCATCCCCGCCTCATTTCCAAATATCCCCAGGGCTCGAATTGTTCAGTGTTTCTGTCTACGTGGTGACCACTGCCTCCCCAGTAACGTCTCAGTCCTACAAACCTCTGTGTCATCCAAAGGCGCCTCCAGCCAGAAGCGAGCTGGGGTCTTCCCAGCCTTACGGCCAGCGGCCCTCCTTAAGATGGCCGCACCCATGGTGCTCCAACGGCTCCTGGGCATCGCCATCTTCCCATTTTTCCCAAAAGGCTGAAAACGCAAGCCGTTCCATATTGGCCTCAGATAGGCTCTGGCCCCTGAAAATTTACTCAGTACAGCGATCTTGACTGATGAGGCAGCTTCGGGCAACGTGGTGCCGTAAAGGGATTACAGTTTCCTCTCACCACGCTGCGCCACAGCCGCCGAAAGGGCGGCTCCGTGAGGGCCGCTCCGTGGGCGTGGCCACGTTACGACACAGAGCCTATAACTACCTGGTCCGCGCGTGCGGGCAGATGGCGTCTCTAGCGACTTCCGGGCGGCAGCCACGCCGAAGGCGCGGGGTGGCACGTGGCTTACGAAGGGGGTTCAGCCCCTGGCAGCTGCCAGCAGAGTCCTGAGAAGCTTAGGATTTGGCGAACCTGACCCCAGGTGAGGGGCCTGGGTGGAAGACCCTGTCCTGGGGGTTTCTTGTGATTCGGCCGCTGGACAATCCTGGTGATTTCGCGATGGGCCCTTTAGTGGTTCAAGGGTCTGAAGGGATGAAAGGTCGCGGGTCCGACTGCCGGGATTTGGTGTCTGCAGGAGAGACAGCCTACCTTTGAGGCTTCGTGATTGAAAGCTGGATGGCAAGGGTGCCGGTGACGGCGGTTTTTCGTCCAGGTTTGAGACTGAGACATGAGGAGAGGCGTCAGTGGACCCCGGTTTCTACAGAACATTTAAAAAATTAGCAGGCGTGGTGACATGCAGATCTGATATTCCTGGTTCTCAGAGTAAAATGATACAAGGGTGGGAGATAAAGGGGTAATATGTGTATCCAGAGGTCAAAGAACAGTTGGTGGAGCTCTGTGGGTATCCCAGCTACTCGGGAGACTGAGGTAGGAGGATCACTTGAGGAGGCTACAGTGAGAGGAGCTCCTGCCACTGCATTCCAGCCTGAGTGACATGTCCTTGCGAGACCCTGTCTTAAACAACAAAACTCTCTTCCCTCGTAACCATGCCTGTCACTATTTTCCTAACAGTGGTTATCTTTTTTTTTTTTTTTCTTTTTAAGCCTTGAAATATAAAGCTATACTCTAGTAATGTGTTACTATAAAACATGTGCCGTTTGTTTTTCTTGTCTCCATGTTTCTGCAGTTTTCTTGTATTTTTCCTTTCAGTCAGGTTCATTTTGACACAAATAAAAACATTTCCATCATTCTAAACTCTTATCCTTAGGAAAAACCATTCCGTTCTTCTTTTTTTTCCCCCGGAATCTCGCTCTGTCACTCATACTGGAGTGCCGTGTCGTGATACTGGCTGACTGCAAACTCTGCTTCCCGGGTTCAAGCAGTGCTCCTGCCCCAGCCTCCTGAGTGACTGGGATTACAGGCGTGCCCCACCATGCCTGGCTAATTTTTGTACTTTTTAGTAGAGGCGGGATTTCACCATGTTGGTCAGGCTGGTCTCCAACTCCTGACCTCAAGTGATCCACCCGCCTCGGCCTCTCAAAGTGCTGGGATTACAGGCGCGATCCACAGTGCCCGGCCCCGTGTTTGTTTTTAAAAGTCTTTTTATACTATCTTCACATTTGTTATAATCTGTATAAACATACTCTGATTGTATTACTTAATTTGTAATTTAAAACATTTCTATATAAGTTGATTATACATTTTCTTAATTGTTGTAATAGTGTCACATCAGGTGGTTATGAACCAGTGGCAAGATGAGTTATCACATTAAATAGATGCATTAATTTGAATAGACTTGATTGATATGTATGCTTGTGCTTTTCAGTAACATTATGGTTTTCTGATTATCCAGATTCTCCGTACATGTCTGTAATAAATATTTAAAAGTTAAATTACTTTCCTATACTCCAGGATAGCATAGGTTTTCATATATAATGCTTTCTTTGCTATTTAATATTAAATAGTTCAAAGTTTTTATTTATATTGGCTTTTTCATTGAAGGTTTGTTGTGCGTTTTTTTATAAATATGTAGTTTTGTTTCTATTTTAATTTGTTGAATTTCCATTACTGTTGAGCTCTAATTTGGTAATCATGGTTAGTGAGTAAGCTCCTTCCATATGGACTTTCAGAGTTTGTGGAAATTGCTTTTATGGCTTATTTAACCCTGTATTTAGGAAAAGCGGTCGATCCTACTAGGGCAACAGGAGTGATTCTCTGGACAATTGACATGAATGTGCATAATATCAGGAAATCAGCGGGAAATTCTACCCATTTCTAAGTGGAAGTCTATGAAGGTCCATAAACAGAAAGTTTTGAAATTTGGGTGTGGCCAAGATGTTGCATTCATGTCCTCCTTCCCATGAATAGTCCTGCTTTCAAGTTTTATACCTTTTTCTCTTGGGCTAACGCTAGAAGGATGCATATCTGATATTCCTGGTTCCCAGATTAAAATGATCCAAGGGTTGGAGATAGAGGGATAATATATGTACCTAGAGGTCAAAGTACAGTTGGTGTAGAGTTCCATGGGTGTAAGAATTTCGAAAAGCCATTGGGAATTGTCTTAGATTTGTGATCAGAAAGAATGGAAGTAAAACCTCATGGTATAATGGGTAGTGACTATCTGGCTATTGCACAGGTAGTAAAAAGAATTTACCAAGACAGTTGTAGGTAAAGAAAGGCAGATTTATTAAAGTAGGAAAATGTGTTGCAAGAAAGCAGCAGGCATATCAGCAAGAGTGGAGCTGACTGCCAGGAGACAAAAGGCTTGCTGGGAATTTTATAGGATAGTTCTTGGGCTGCAGAGTGCTGCATGCTGTACTGATAATGCCAAGGTTGCAGTAAGCTAATTTGCATTTTTCTATCAGCTGAGGTGTTTGTGGCGAGCTCTGTGAGTTGTGCAGGAGGGATACATGTCTTGGACCATGAAGAAAGGCAGACTTGTAGCTTATCTGCCTTTTCTTTTTACTTTCCCCTGCTTCCGCCAGCCTGACTCCTTTTCCCTTGTTAGAACTCGACAGAAGGTAACTCTACCAGTTGATGACCTTAAAGGATCTTTTTAACCCCCCATCTCTGATATGCTACTTTGGGATTAGTGTTAGGACATGCTCCTTTTCCATATGTCACTTGTTTTCCTCTATGTGAAAAGTCCAGAATGGGTAATTCTATAGAAACAAAGTGGATTAGTGGTGGCCTGTGGCTGAGGAGGCCAGGGATGGAGTGGGTTGGGGAGAAATGGACAGTGACTGGTAATGAGTATAAGGTTTCTTTATATTTATTTTTGTTTTTCCACCTTTCTCAACTTTTAGTTTCAGGGATACATGTGCATATTTGCTACATCAGTAAATTGCATGTCACTGCACTATGCTGTACACATGATTTTATCACCCAGATTGTAAGCATAGAACTCAATAGGCAGTTTTCTGACCCTCACCCTTCTCCCACCCTTCACCCTGAAGTAGGCCCCTATGTGTTTTGGTCCACCCTTTGTGCCCCTGTGTACTCATTGTTTTGCTTTCATTTATAAGTTAGAACATGTGGTGTTTGGTTTTCTGTTCCTGGATTAACTCATTAGAAAGTGACCTCTGACTGCATCCGTGTTGCTGCAAAGGATTTCACTCTTTTTATGGCTGCATAGTTTTCCACAGTGTATATGTACCACATTTCCTTTATCCAGTCCACTGTTGATGGACACCCAAGTTGATTTCATGTCTTTGCTATTGTGAAAAGTGATGTGATGAACATACATGTGCATGTGTCTTTTTGGTAGACAAATTTATATTCCTTTGGGTATATACCCAGTAATGAGATTGCTGGGTTAAATGGTAGCTGAATTTTATTTTATTTTTTTGAGACGGAGTTTCGCTCTTGTTACCCAGGCTGGAGTGCAATGGCGCCATCTCTGCTCACCGCAACCTCCGCCTCCTGGGTTCAGGCAATTCTCCTGCCTCAGCCTCCTGAGTAGCTGGGATTACAGGCACGCGCCACCATGCCCAGCTAATTTTTTGTATTTTTAGTAGAGATGGGGTTTCACCATGTTGACCAGGATGGTCTCGATCTCTTGACCTTGTGATCCACCCGCCTCGGCCTCCCAAAGTGCTGGGATTACAGGCATGAGCCACCGCGCCCGGCCGAATTTTATACTTTAAGAGTTAATTTTATGTTATATGAATTATAAGCCAACAAAAAAACTGAAAACTCTCTACTAACTTTACCTTAAACTGTGAAATATTCTGATCTTCTAACCCTACCTGTAAGGAATATGGCTGTACTTTGGTCAAGGAATAGGCTGAGGCGGATATCTGGGCCAGAGTGTCTTAGTGAGTTTAGAGCGCAGACGTCTGACTCCACTTGTTATCATAGCCATGTAGCCATAACATGGGAAGGCCATCCCTTGGCCCCTAAGCCACTGCTGTCTGTAAAAGATATAATTACTCTGCTGATGCTATACAGGGGCTCTCATGCCCAACGAGATGAACAGTTAAGCTGCTGACCCTTGAAGGCAAGGGAGATCTGGCCGTATAGCAGTGTGTGGGAGTTGCTGGACTAAGCAGCTGAGACAGGGAACACAGTGTGAGAAAGCTATTGATGAGAGCTGCTGCTGAATAAATTCATTTTTCACCCGCCTGTGGTTCCCCTAGTGTTCTTTCTGCTTATTCACCGACTCCCTTCGGACCTTAGGATAGGCTGGAACCTGACCCTGAATGTGACATTTGGTGTAGTTGTGAACCTGACAATTGGTGACGTCAGCAGGATGAGGTGAGTGGGCCTTCAGCCCTTGAGCCTCCTGGGTTGGCTCCTGTGTGGCCTCAGCATGGGCTGTGGTACCTAGTGGCAGTGGTGCTACTTGGATGGGCCTCAGTGGAAATGTGGGAGGCAGTGGACGGGTCTCCCATGAGGGTGGATAAGGGACTGAAGCATCTGGAAGCTCACAGCCCCAAGAAGGAATGCACCTTTGCTAGCAGTGTTGGATGGGCATTTCTGACTGCACTATGTGAAGTGCAAGCTCAGTCCCTGCAGGACACAGCACAGGTAAGGGATCTTCAGGCACAACCTGAGCACCTGAGGGCCCAAATACACAAGCCTGGAGCAAAACCAGGGGGTGAAGGACCTCCAGGTGCAAACAGGGTGCTTACAGGCCCAGATAAACAGCCTGGAACAGGAGTTAGGAATAGCTGTCGGTGCTACCTGAGCCTGTCCTCCTGGCTGGACACTCCCATATGGTCTGATGCTGAGGAAAAGGAGGCTCCCCCACTGTGGGCTCACCCTGTGATCCATCAGAAGGTAGGACATGAGCAGCTGATAGGACCCCAGGGGAGAGCCCAAGGACCTTCCATAGTGGTGGAACACACCTCTTATAATGCTTATATCCTCACTGAGTTGCAGGAATTAGATAAACAGTGCTGACAGCACCCAGGAGAGCTGAAAGCATTTCTTGCTCCGCCTCTGAGATGGAGAAGCTGGCTTCTACCAAACTCACCCCTC